CGAGCAATCCTGCCCTGTTTCCAACAAGCTAACCCAATATGAGCCCGCGATCCAATCGATAACCAGCGCTTGGTCAGCGGTCAACTTCAAGAAAACACGGCCAATTTCCAAGAGAGTTCAGCTAATTATTGAATCAGAATACACATGTATTACTCTACAATTAAAGGTTTTAAGAGAGCAATTTCAAAATTTGTACACACTGTCAGGTCAATTTACAAAGTTTGCTAGGTATTGTATTACAATGTCACATGAGTACACACAATACTTCAACATGCATAACTCTGGATTCATTAATTTGTGTTGTGTTTCATCTTTTAGAGCAAAATTGAAAGTGGAGAGTTCATTCTTGGTGAAATGATTGTCCCCCAAACATTCAAAAAGGTGTTGCTGACAAAGGAAGGTACCCTTAAGACTGAAAGATTTACCGTATCTGGCCATAAGATCCCTCTCCTAGAAATAAGGACACGCATGCTAAAAGAGCAGGAATCCCTTGGCTTACTACGAATTCACAATGATGACTACTATGCTGCCATGACAGATGCTGAAGTCAGATCCAGACTTATTCAGCTTGGTGAGGATGCCAACACAGGGGAAGAAAGTGAAATTGAGTCTAAAGAGAGATTAAAAGCAATGGAAAGAAAGCGGCACCTCATGGTTTGAGGTGACAACTCAACCCTTCTCAACCATGGTCAACTTCTACTGACAGTTAATTCAGTATATGATGAGGCCATATATTACACCAATGAAGAAATGAAAGCAAAAGGCAAAGGAGACATTGATGTACAGTCTGTAGTTGAAAGACCCCAAGTCTACATTCTGGGGAGATGTGGTTCCTCTGAAGTTGATCAGCTAGCCTACATTAACACCAGAAAGGCCTGTTTACAGAGTATGAACATTAAAATCACCACTTCAAATGGAGTTGAGATTACTGATGTAATGCGCTTTTTTCATGGAGATGGCCCCGAGCAACAATTTGAGGCTGGAGAACAGAAAGGGGGAAATGCTGGATGTGCAAGTTGCAGTGGTGATGCAAGAAAGTACAAAGACCTCGCAGTTTCTCTTTGCAAACCTCACCTTACTCTCTCAGAACGGTTGAGGAAAGTTCTACAGGGGCCTGCTGGGAAAAATAAAAGGAATGCTGGTTTGAAGCCATTTAAAGATCTTCGCTTAGAAGAGTTGAGAAGTGAATGCAGAGCCCGAGGCCTCGAAACTGATGGACAAAAGAAGGACCTTCAGGAAATTCTCAAAGAAGAGATTGGTGGAATTCAACGGGTGCCAGCAATGATGTTCTTTGACCAAGAGAAAACACTAGCAGACCTTGGTTTAGGTAGGCATTGCATACTGTCTATTACCAATATTGTGAACATCAAGAGACAGATCTAAAAAAAATTTGTACACAGTACAGTATGATTTTTTTCCTTGGCCTGTGTTCTGGGTAGGATGATATATTTGTTGGGAAGTTTACAGCAATGATACATGCACTAGTCAATGTACAGTGTACATGTAACATCTATTTACAAATGTATAAATGTTTACAAATGCATGGTACTTGTTACAAGTTCGGGTATATACAGTAGAATTTTACATAAAAATAATGACAAGTGGGCCATTCATAAGCATAAAAATCTTGAAAATCTTATTTCAAACAGGAAACTATGAAGTCTTACCTACAGAGCCTCTTCATGATGTTAAGGAACACATTGCCAATGTTCTCACTGAGTTACCTTCACACCTTGAAAAAGATGAAAAAATTGCATTTCAGGACATCATTGAGTGTTCATTTGCTGGAAAGGAAAAGCTACGTGGCTGTGATTATCGACTTGCAGCTGTCATAGTGGCTCAATACTTAAGAGGTAATGATCAAAACATTTTACAGACTAAAGCAGATCTCACAATAATGATAAACAATTTTTGAGTTCTTTTTTTCTATTTGGTGATGGCCATCCTTTTTGATATTTAGCAGCATATGGTGAGGACACAGAGGCTGTTCATACTATTATGTTGTTTAAGGATATTTGAGAATTTCATTTATATGTTTGTGTTTAGAACTTTCACAGCTATTAATAAAACAAAATAATACAAATGTCAGTTGAGGAACAATATGAAACAATGGAAGTAGAATTATTTTGTTACGATAACTCTTACAGTAGTGAGTGCTAGCCAGACAATTGACTACAGTACAATGTACACGAGCACGTAGTCAGGAAATTATAGTCTGACTAGTCATACAATAATAACTTACAGCACAGATTGTGCTCCAAGATAGAGTCATGTATTTGTTGTAGTTTAAAATGAAGTCCAGGTCAATATTATTTGAAACTAGTTTGATTTGTATTTTCCTTTGCTCC